AAGGAATGAATTTTTTATACATATGACAACATGTTTGGGTCTCAGAATAGTTATGCTGAGGGTAAGAAGCCACCCCCCCAACCAAAAAAAAGTGCATATTGTATGATTCCATTTATATGTAATTCTAGAAAATGCAAACTAATCTATAGTGACAGAAAGCAGATCAGTGGTTGCCTAGGGATGGAGTGAATTTGGGAAAGGGTATGGGACAGAGGGATAACAGAGGGGCACCAGGAAGCTTGGGTGGTGATGGATATGTTCACTGTCTGGTTTATGAGCATGGTGTGCGGGTACCAACATTTGCCAAAACTTAACAATTTGTATATTTGAATATGTGCAGTTCATTGTGTGTCAATTATAATGAAATAAGGCTGTTAAAATTTTTGCTCCAAAATGTTCTTAACAATGAAATTAGTTCTGGGCAACTAATACAGAGTGAGAAGTAAGAGCGGTGAGACATGAGGCAGGAGAGAAAAAGCAGGAAGCTGATAGGGGTAGAGCTTAGCCCTCATCCTGAGGGTAATGGCCAGACACCGAAGAGTTTTGAGCAGTCTAGAGACATAATTCAGTGTGCCTTTTTGACAGATTGCTCTCATTTTAGACTGGAGAATTGTTTGTTAGGGTGCAAGACCAGAAGCAGGGAGACACTTAGGAAGTTGTCCTAGTAATCTTGGTGAGTGATGTTGGTGGCCCCAACTAGCATGATGCAGTGAATGGATTTAAGAAAAGAAAAATCTTCATGGCCTCAGTGTGTTTATTGCTGATGGCACTGAGCCAGTCTAGAGGGAGAGTTCGATGATACAGGAAGGGGGGTCCAGAGTGCCGAAGGAGGAATTATCTTTAGAAATGAGGGGATATATTCCTTCCAATTTAATAGCAGGAAGAGGGAGGAGTTGGGTACAGATATAATCATGTTTGTAGTGGGTGACAGGAAGTTGAGAGGCCTCCCATCTCACTGTGGCCTCTATTTTTCGCAGTGGAAAAAGCAGAGTCATTTATTGAGAACGAGCGAAGTGTGGCAGGGCAAGAGATTTGAGGGAGAGCAGAGATTGTGCATACTTACAGTAGAGAATGAAAGAAAACCGTTTAGGGACATAAGAATAATTACTTAGTGGCATTGAAGCCCCTGATGAGAATGACTGTCGCAAAATTATAGTGGCACAAATTAAAGTTCTGTAGTTTTGTTGATCAGCAGTTGGATACCCAGGTGGAGACAAGGAGAAAACGGGCAGTTGGATTGATCCAGGAGTGGGGCTTTCTCAGGCAAATGTGATGAAAGGACAAGGGGCAAGAAATGTACATATTAGCGGGTGCAGTTGAAATGGTAGACTACACTGAAGGGCAAGGACAGGGAGTTGGGGTCAATTCAACATGCTGCAGCTTTGTAGATTCTTCCTCTCGAATCCTCCGCTTTACGTGGGTTGGAGCCACCTTCATATCTCGCCACCATTGCAAGAGCTTCCTGATTGTCCCTCTGCCTCCAGTCTCGAATGTAGGATATGAGGGTGGTGGCTGACATGTAAAATGCCATTTATTGGTGTTGAGCAGGCTGGGAGCGGAGAGGCTGACACAAGTAGATGCATCCTCTGGAGGACAGGGGAACTCAGCACCAGGAGGGAAGCCTACAGGAGCCGCTTGACTTAATCTTGAGTTTTGCAAAGGAAGAGTTCTCATATCACTTTCTAACATGACCTTGTTCGCTGCTGGCGTCTATATGTTACTTCTCTCTGTTCCTAATGCTTTCTGAATTGTTCTATGAAGAAATCTGTGGCCATCTTAATTTCCCCTTTCCTGGTAAGGGATGTATGTATGTACCCTAACTGCTAGGAAGCGTAAATAATTCTGGGCACTCAGCCAGTTTTTCTGAATCATTTTCCCCTATGAATAGCCAGTGTCCATTTGATCTTCAGATTCAGCTCTTTCGTTCACTTAAGGGAAACTTGCTTTTGTATCTGAAATAATTTTCTTACTCTATTTATTATAGTCGAAGATACCAATTATCTTCATGTTGGCTCATCTTTGTTTCCTATACCTATCCTTTTATTCTCTAATGGCTTTAGCTACATTGTCCTGGTTTCTCTGCCTTCTTTATGATTATCATGGGCCTTTTCTCTGTGGCATTAATTTGATTTGGAGCCATATCTATTCTTTTCCCTGCTAGTTGATTTCTTAGAGTCATAATGGCATTGTTTCGGTCCTCAAATCATTTCCACCAATAATTAGGTCCCAAATTATTTCAATTCTGTGGTCTCCCATTTCCATTCACTCTATTCTTTTATCGTCTCATGTTTGAACTTTAAAAAAGGAATTGCTATTCTTATTACTTTACCATTATGCAACCATAGTCCTTTTTTTGTTCCTTGGCTGCTAGTTTTCTCAGTTTATGGCATGAAACTGTTCCTTTCTTTGCTTGTTTGGTTTCTGCTGGTGAATTTTAGCAATAATTTTTGACTGATTATTTGTTCATTGTTCATAGGTTTTGGAGATGAACAATTCCGTGATAATGCCTTAATCCACCATCTTAACCAAGAATTCAAATCCATAGCAAGATTTTTATAAATACTCTTAACTGAGTGATTTTCTCATCATGGACCTTTGATGTTACCCTTATATGTTTTGATGATGATAGCTAATCTAGTGGAAAACCAGAATCATTGGCTATATCTGTGCATATCTCATATAATTTTATCATGTTTATAAATTGGTCATAAATTACTGTTTGTTGCCAGGAGGAACCTGATCATCCTTTATTCCCTTCTTCTGACTACAGTAAAAACTACAATAATGTAGATTTCAGGATGTCCTCAGTTACCACATGAACCTTGATTTACCATCTAATGACATTTTTTAGTCTTTTTTTTTGGCCAGTGTTAGGGTGTTAGTTATGCATTGGTGAGAAGGCCACTTGATAGGTGGTATTTCTGCTTTCCTGAGTAAAGTTAACCTCCCTGGAGCAGTCTTCTAAGTACCAAGTGTGATTGTCTGAACCAGGACATTTTACAAACAGACCCATCCCAGACTCCACCAACCATTTAACATGGCTTTCTTGCTCTATTGGCCTGTTTTATACTGAATAGAAGGAAGGGATGCATTAAAATGGGATTTTTATTTGACATCACTGGTTGAAACCTTAAAATTCTATTGTGTTGCCCAAAGTTTTATATAGATGTGAGCCACTTAAAGTAAACACCTGTCATTATGTCTATGATTTTTTTTTTTTAAATCTTTTTCATTGGCGTGTGCACTATCTGGAAAAATCACTTCCTTTTTCTGATTACAACAGAGTTAAAATGCCTTGTACCACAATAACAAAACAGGTAGAGTGGACAGCTAGTTTTCACTGTTTTTGTATTAGTTTATCACTTACTGGACCTCCTGAAATCCTGATATGTAAACTTTGATCTTTTTTTGTTTTGTTTTATTTTGCACATGAGTATGTTTAAAAAATTCAGACAGCTGAAAAACACAGGGGCCACTGTGAATAATCTTTATCTGGTCTCAGATTTCCCTTTAATTATTTGAAAAGGAATTGAAACTCCTTTTCCTTCTATTCTTCCCTTCTTCCATAATCCCCTTTGGCTGTTTGACCTCAGCTGGGGAACTCTATAAGGTTCTCCTCTCCCTCCCTCTGCCAAGGGGATGGAAGCAGAGAGGGTCAGAAGATGAAGTAATTTGAGCACAGTTTCATATGTAATAATCCCTTCAAACTGTATGAGGTATAGGGTTCATTCTGTCCTTCTTGGCATCAGGAAATAGACCCAGGGAAGTTGAGTAGCTTGGCTAGTCTGTTTGGTTCCAAAGCCTCTACTTTTCTTCATAAAGTAGAAATTCATTCAAGGGGGAAATCTGGTTTGGGAACCATGGGCAATGCAGTGCAGTGGTGGTTAAAAGCTGGTCTTTTGAGTCAGAAAGACTTATTAGGAGGAAATAACTTCCTTGTGAGTTGATTTCATCTATAAAATAGAGGTAGTGAGCCCTTTGTTGCTGTTACTGGGCCCGGAGTTAGTGCTCATAGCTCTTACCACAAAATACTAATTCATTAAATGACAGCTTAATAAATGTCTAATATGAGAGCAGGTCCAGAAACAAGGCTGACTTAATAACTTCACTGGGAGCTCTGGATCCTGGACAACCAGTTGGTTCAAGCTGACTGCAGTTGGATGGACTCTGTCCAGAGTAACCGCTCTTTTAAGGTATCTGATTCCCAAATAGCGATTCACAGCTGTTGAAAGAAGTGTTGAAGTAGGAGTCCCATGAATGTTAGGGTCGGGATGTGTTGATTTCATGAGGAACACAACATAGATACACATTTCTTTAAATCTGATGCCATATTGATATTGTTCTAGCCAAAGAACACGTGGTTAGCTGAGATTAGCTCAAGTAAAAAGAGTTGACTGAAGGCTATGGGGCACCGGATGGAATATAAGGGCAGGAGTATGGTTGGGCCTCCTTGGAACCAGAAAACTTTCAGAAACTGAATGTAACTTCATCTTTAAGTGTCTGTCTAATTTCTGGTTCTCTTTTCACAATGTTCTATTAACACAGTTCAGTGCTCACATACTTTAGTTTTGTGAGTGTATTTGAATTGCTGCTGGAAGCCCAGTGGCTCTGGTGACCATCTTGGCCCATGTTGGCAGAGTCATTTGTACTAAGTGTGGCCACGAAGGCCTACCTTTTTAGCAGAAGATACAGATTTGTAGAGAATGAGCCTGTAGGGAAGAACAGAGGCTGGAAGGCTGTCTGTTACTCATATTTTTTATAAAAGAAAGAAAGGTCTGGAAATGAGTTGTCTGTTTTTTTAAAGCCTGGTAGTCCAGTTCCCCAAGCTGAAACTTCTGGCATTATTGAATGGCAGAATGCTTAAATGGCATGCCAACTGTTTTATGAGAAAATAATTCTCTTTAAAGTTAATCTTGCAAGCCTAAATTTTTAAGTTTGCTGTTGTCACTTTCTAATAAATGTAGAATGTTAATCTTCATCTTCTTTTGGTTTTCTTCCAGAGATATGAAGACTATGGAATGACTCCCCCATCAGGCCCATTGCCAAGGTAAAGTTTTCAAGAGAAAATGCATTAGAACTTCCTCACACAGGCTGTTTTTAAAAATTTTGTAAACTCACTTCTTTGAGCTAATATTTAGAGCAGATGAAAACTTCTGAGTTGTGTGTTGTCTTGGGCTAATCTGAAGAGGAGAAAAAAGGTGGAATTTAAGGTCTGCTTCCAGTAGTGACAGACTAGATAATTTGCTGAGGGCAACTGGAATAGCTAGACAAGATGTTAAAATAAAACAAAACCAAACCCAGATAGCTAATAGGACAGTGAAGTGGTATGGGGCCAAGATCCAGGAAATTCAGAGAGATGAGCCCTGCCTCTTGGGCAAACTTTCTCCCAGGGGCACCTGCTAATTCCAGAGGAGGCGACTGAGAAGCTGAGCAAAACTTTGGACAGACTCATGGAGCTCGGAGTCTTGAAAATTCAACATAGTGAAAGTTGTGGGATACACCTCAAGGCATGCTTAGGAAGGACTTTGATGCCTTAAATGAATCAAAATATATTTGAAAAGAAAAATGGCTGAAAACCAGTGATCTAAGCATCATCTCAATGTTAAAAAAAAAAAAATCTAATTAAACCTAAAGGAAGTAGAAGGAAGGAAATGATAAAAATAATAGAAATTAATGAAATAGGGGCACCTGGGTGGCTCAGTCGGTTCAGCATCTGCCTTCGGCTCGGGTCATGATCCCAGAGTCCCGGGATGGAGCCTCGTGTTGGGCTCCCTGCTCAGCAGGGGAGTCTGCTTCTCCTTCTCCCTCTACCCCTGCTTGTGCTATCTCTGTCTCGCTCACTCTCTCTCAAATAAATAGATAAAATCTTAAAAAGAAATAAAATAAATAAAAAGAAAGTAATGAAATAGAAAAACAAATAGCATAATAGAGAAGATTGACAAAGCTAGAAGTTGGTTCTTTGAAAAAAGCTAATAAAATTGATAAATCCCTGGAGAGCTTGATCAAGTAAGCTGTATAGCATTATCAATAAGAGGAATGTAAAAGGACATATTAATCCAGATCTTTCAGAAACAAAAAAGATTTTGACAGATTTCTAAAAGGCTGATTTTTAAAAGATTTTACAGATACTAAGAAGATTTTATGAACACATTTTTGTGAAATTTAAAATGGAAAGTGGCTCAGTCAGTTAAGTGTCTGCCTTTGGCTCAGGTCGTGATCCCAGGGTCCCTCGGCAGGGAGTCTGCTTCTCCTTCTACCCCTCCCCCTTCCTTGTGCTCACTCTCTCTCTCATGCTCTCTCTCGAGTTCTCTCTCTCTCTCAAATAAATAAATAAAATCTTAAAAAAAAATTTAAATGGAAAAATTCTGGGACACCTGGCTGGCTCAGTCAGTGAGCATGTGACCCTTGATCTTGGGGTTGTGAATTTGAGCCCCATGTTGTGGGTAGAATTTATCAAGAAATAAATTAAATTGATTTTTTTTTTTCAAAATAAGATGGATGGAAGAATTCCTAGAAAGAGAAAACCCGAATTGTCATATAACTATTAAAAAAATTGAAATCATTCCTAAAATTCTTCCCACAAAGAAAACTTTGGGCTGGGGCACCTGGGTGGCTCAGTCGTTAAGCGTCTGCCTTTGGCTCAAGTCATGATCTCAGGGTCCTGGGATCGAGCCCCACATTGGGCTCCCTGCCCCGCCGGAAGCCTGCTTCTCCCTCTCCCACTCCCCATGCTTGTGTTCCTGCTCTCTCTGTGTCTTTCTCTGTCAAATAAATAAATAAAATCTTTAAAAAAAAAAAAAAAGAAAAAGAAAACTTTGGGCTTCAATGGTGAATTCTGCCAAAAACACCAAAGGAAAAAAAACATGCCAGTGTTCTACAAATTTATCTAAAGAATATAAAAACAGAGAATGCTCCCCATCTCATTCTTTGAGACTGCATAACCTTTTTTTTTTTTTTTTTTTTTTTGACAGAGAGAGAGAGAGTGAGAGAGCACAAGCAGGGGGAGGGGCAGGCAGAGGCAGAGGAAGAAGCAGGCTCCCTGCTAAGCAGAGAGCCTGATGCAAGGCTTGATCCCAGGGTGCTGGGATCATGACCTGAGCCAAAGGCAGACACTTAACTGACTGAGCCATCCAGGTGCCCCAAGACTGCATATCCTTGATATCAAGGATGACAAGGACAGGGAAATTGCAGGAAAGAAAACATTAAGGGTTCATGAGTTTTACTCATGAACGTAGATACAGAAACTTGAAACTAAATATTAGCAAACATACCCAGCATTGTATTCAAGAGGATATCATATCACAGCCAAACTGGATTTATTCCAACAATGCAAGGGTAATTTAACATTTTGAAAAATCAACCAATCCAATTCACTACTTTGAGGAGAATAAAGGAGGGAAATCTCATTTCACTAAATACAGCATTTGATAAAATTCAACATCCATTCATGGTAAAAATCTTAGCAAATAAAGAATAGAAGTGAACTTGTCTAATCTGATAACAGTTATCTCAGCAAATGTGATTTAAGGTTGAAATGTTAAAAGCTCTCCTTTTGAGAATAGGAGCAAGACAAAGATAGCTGCTTCCATTACCTCTATTCAGCATTGCTCTGGGAGTCTAGATGGTGTAGTGAAGCAAAAAAAAAAAAAGAAAAAAAGAAAAAGATTAAGGAATTCAAGGAAAGAAATAATACTGTTATTATTCTCAAATGATATATATATATATTTTTAAAGATTTTATTTATTTATTAGAGAGAGAATGAGAGAGAGCACAAGAGGTGGGGAGGGTCAGAGGGAGAAGCAGACTCCCTGCTAAGCAGGGAGCCCGATGCGGGACTCGATCCCGGGACTCCAGGATCATGACCTGAGCTGAAGGCAGTCGCTCAACCAACTGAGCCACCCAGGCGCCCTTTCAAATGATATATTTTTTAAGTAGGAAATCCTTAAATGTCAACACATAAGTTGTTAGAATTAAGAGAATTTAGCAAGATAGATAAATTACAAAATAGCTGGATATAAGATCAGCATACAAAAATCTGTTTTATTTCTGTTTATGAGCAAAAGACAAAATATACTGTACAAAATAGCATTAAAAAATATAAAATCTCTCAGATTTAATCTCACTAGATAGTCAAGTTCTCTAAAGAAAGTGTTCATGGATTGGGCAACTCAGTATGTTTAAAATATCGGTCCTCCTGTAAGTGATCTACAGATTCATTGTGATCCCTTTCAAAATCCTGGTAGTTTGTGGTCTTTAAAAAAATATGTGGAAACTGACAAGCTGATTTTAAAACTTATATGGAAATGCAAAGGCCCAACAATATTCAAGACACTTTGAGAAAAAGAAGAATAGTGTGTGAGGACTATTCTAAAGGTTGTAAATTACTGTAACGTAATGAAGACAGTGTGGTATCACTGTAAAGCTAGACAAATAGACCAGAGGAACAGAATAGAGAGTCCATAAGCAGACCCACACGAGTGGGCAAATGATTTATTACAAAGAAGGAATTGTCAGAGTTAATCTCAGAAATCATACTCAGCTATCTTTTCAATGACCACAAGTCACACAGAAGTAGGAATGTTACCTGCTTCCTCATTTTTTCTGTTCTTTCTTTGCCCTCATTTTCAGAGGGGCTTGTTTTATTTTTCCCCAACCCAGGCACTGCTTCGTGGTCCAAAAACAACAAAGGTAAAGAGAGCACGTGAAGATTAGGTGATCTGGGGCAGAAGTTAATGATGCGGGGGGGCATCTGATCTGGTTTGCCCAGTTCAGTTCACACCTGTTTTCTAGTGTAATTATTAATAACTTTGACTCTCAAAAGCGTTCTGGTTTGGATGACCAATTTTGTGGTTACTCAAGTTAAAGGATTCTGGGTGATTTGGATCACACTGAACTGTGAACACACAATTGAGGATAAAAAGGATGCACATGTAGCCAAGAGGAGGTTAATTGGGTAAAGTAGAAATAAGTAAAGGGTAAGAGCTAGTTGTTGGGTGGATGGTCAAGAGATTATGATTTAATTAGGTGAACTCCAATATACAGATGTTGAAGGAGGAGCATGCCTTATGTTACGCTCTCAGATCTGTAAGGTCAGAGATGTCAGACATCTCTCTCTGAGGTCAACCTAAAACAGTAACAATTATCGAAAGAGAGCAATATAAATAGCCTGGGTCTCAATTTACGAGATGTACTCCAGAAATAAGACTATAGAATAGGGGCAAGTCAGTCTATGTTCTCGTCAAACTAATTTGATCTGTTAATTACTGGTTGTCATTTGCAAAGAACTGTAATTAGATATTCTTGAGTTTCTTTAGAAGAGTGGTTCTCAAGGTGGAATTCTCAGATCCCTAGAGAGAGGGTCCTTGAGACCCTTTTGGGGAGGGGTGTCTATGAAGTCAAAACTGTGTTTCATAATAATACTAAAGCATTATTTAACTTTTTCTTTCTTTCTTTCTTTCTTTTTTTTTTTTGTGCTGATGCCTACACTGAGGGGCAGAAGCAGTGGTGGATGAAACTGCTGGAACCTTAGCATGAAACAAGGCAGAGGCACCAGATGGCCTGAGTAGTCCTCATATTCTTCACCATGCAATCAGATTTTTAAAAATGCCAGTTTGTTAGTTATGTTAGCATGTCCTCGGTGAAGTAGTACAAATTATTAATTTTATTAAAAGTAAACCCTTGAGTCTTTAATCATCTGTAGAACAAAAGAGGAAATACATATAAAGCGCTTTGTGTAGTATGGAATTTTGAAGGAAAAGCTCCTGTTCATTTGTTTGTGTTGAGAACTGATCTGTACTGCTGCTATGTTTTCTCTTTGAGTGATCAATTGGCAGACATCGTTGTTCAGACTTGGATTGCTTACCAGACATTGTCTTGAAAAAAAGGAAGTGAGCCTGTCACTTCCAGAAAAATAACTGACAGGATTTCTTGCCACTGATAAAGCTGAGCTTTCAAGTGAAAATTTGAATTTTGTCTGCCACTGGGTGCTTCACAACTTCCTAGTACTTAAAAGACTTTTCTGATGAGCTCAATGATGATATTAATAATGTGATTTTTTTTGATACTACCAAATGAAATGTATCAATATCTAGAAAGTCTGCAAAACTCAGTGAACTCATATTTTCCAAATGACTTATGTCATAAAATCATGCATGGGTCCATTCAAAGTATAAAATAGAACAGTGGGATTTCTGTAACAGATTATATAAAGTTAATTGATACTGTTTCAGATTCCATATTGCCACTAACCCTTAAGGAAACTTTGTTGAGTTTTGGTGTATCAAAGAAGAATATTTTTCTGAAATATTATTTGAGTATCATCTGAAAAGGCAATTAAAGTCTTCCTTATCCAATTATGTATTTATGTGAGTTCAGATTTTCTTCTTAAAATAACTTAACAGCAACTGATTGAATACAAAGCATATGAGAATCCAGATGTCTTTATAAGGAAATTTGAAAAAATGTAAAACTCTTCTCACTACTTTTTGGGGAGGGAGGGGTTAGATAATATAGTTGATTTCATGAGAAAATGTTAACAGGTAAGATGCTTAATATTATTTTTAAATTACTTTTAAACATAGGTATTTAAAAATGTTTTCATTTTAATTCTGAATGCAAGAAATATCTATAGATATAATCCACATACACAGAAGTTCTCAGGAGTCCTCAGTAATTTATGAGTGTAAAGGCATCTTGAGACCAAAAGGTTTGAGAACCTCCGCTTTAGAGCACTGATTTTCAGCCTTGATGAGTATCAGGATCATCAGTGGAACTCTGAACAGCCGAATCTGGGTCCCACCTCTAGAGATCTTGTTTTCATAGGTCTGGGGTGCAGCATGGACATTGGGGTTTTTAAAAGATGCTCATGGGCAGCCGAGGTTGGGAACCACCACTTCAGTCCAATGCTGGAGGTGCACAGGCCCTGGAATTTTACCTGCACCTTCATGTAGTCTGTAAACTAAGGCATTTCTTCTTCAGTCATCTGGCAGAGATTTATCAAGCATCAGCCATACTCCAGGCAACGTTCTTAGTGCTGGAGATATGCCAGTGAGCAAACAGAAGACGCCTCTGCCCTTAGGGAGCTCGTGTTCTAGGAGAGGAGATGTATACACCAATAGACAGAGAGGTCTTATTTTTCTGTAGGGCTGAAAGTGGAACTAATAAAATTCCAGAGCCAGGGAAAAGTGTGGTCCTGATGCTTGGGCTTGCTTTGCCTTCAGACCAGGTTTTGGCCCCGGTTTGCTGCAGGCTTCGGAGCTGGTGGCCCCAGAGCTCCAGCAGCCACAGGCATCGGCTGAAGCCCCGGTCGCCGCCCGAGGGATCTACTCGGAGGACATGCCATCGGTGGCCCGGCCACGGCCTGTCGGGGGCACCACAGGTACATGTGGCTGTTTAGCTTGCATTTCTGAGCTAGACAGCCCTTGCTTTTGGCTACATTCCGGAAGAGGACATTTCAGGCTTCCCAGCGCTTTGGTGTGCCAGTATTCGGTGACCTGCACAACTGGTCTGAGCCGCGTTCCCCTGGATCCTGGTGGAGGTGTAGGCAGGGGAGGAGGGAAGAGAGGGTGGCTGAGATCCCAGGACTGATGCCTTCTGATTTGTTCCTGAGTCTGTGTCTCAGACGCTGTCCCTTCACGTGGAGTTCACAGCACAACTCTTCCAGGGAAGACGTTTCAGAATTCTTATGGTAAACTGAAAGATCTATTGCTGAGCACTTGGTATGGTATTAAAAACAAGTGTTTATTTTAAAGAAGGCATTTTTCCAGCTTGTGATAAGCAACTCTGGACGTTGCTGGCCAGTGACCTGAGGGAGATTTTTGTTTCATTTGGCCCTCGTGACGAGGGATGCTGCTCATAGGTGACAAGCAGGGCCCAACATGGCTGAGCTGAGATTCCTGCATGGCACTTGGCTGGTCTGCCCCAGCAGTTTACCTGAGATCCAGTCTTGAACCCCAGAATTAAAAATTGCTGTTTCGTATCATGGAATTCCATCTCATCAATAGTTGATACTATGAACGCTATATTTGGGAATGTTGTTCATTGTTCCTAAAGCATATATGGAGTTTAAGATTTAAGCTCTTTCTTTTTTTTGTACAGTTCAGCATACTCTGAAAAATCCTCAAAGTTCATTATACCCACCTAACTGTTTATTCCAAGGGCTCAAAGTCACTCTTTTATTTTCCTTTTTATTTTATTTTCATTTCTTCACCTTTCTGTTGGAAGCTTTAGTAAGAGGAGCCATTACATGTTGAATAGCTTATTATTTTTTTTTACAGTTTCTAAATTTTGGACGATACATACCTTTCTAATGTCATCAAGACGGTGCCTGGGTGGCTCAATTGGTTAAGCTACTGTCTTCTGCTCAGGTCATGATCCTGAGGTCCCAGGATCGAGTCCCGCATCGGGCTCCCTGCTTGGCAGGGGAGTCTGCCTCTCCCTCTGACCCTTCCCCCTCTCATGCTCTCTCTCTCTCTCTCATTCTCTCTCTCTCTCAAATAAATAAATAAAATCTTTAAAAATATATAATGTCATCAAGGAACTAGTTTAAGCCAATTCGAAACTTGTAATAATTGGATAATTACCCATTATGGTTTCTTTGGAAGTTCTTGTATGTTGCGTTGTTTGTCAGTCAACAAAACAAATAATGTATCTGGATATCCTACAGGATTTCGTATATTTTACACATGCTGTGCTTACAGTGAGTTTTGTTTCTCCTGCTAATTATTGCTTATTTGAATTATTATTGAAATATTAATTATTGCTTGTTGTGTATTACATATCCCAAACAAAATTCAGACATACTCATCTTCAATCTAGAAGAATAGAGAAATGATACCTATAAAACATTTGAAGAGGATGTTATTTTCTAATAATTTCTAATAAGAGATTAAGTTGTGTAAAAATTTGTAATAGAAAATATTAAGATATACTGGAAGAGTTACCTTTCTGACTGTGTAAAATGATCAAATATGTCTATATCTAAAAATTAGTAAAAGCAAAAGGAAAATAGTATCTAGGGAAGTATTCAGCAGATAGATATGTCCATGAGGTATTTTTATTAGAGGATGATTCATATAAATTGATAAGTGGGCAGACTTCAGAGCATGAATGGGCAAAGGACAGGAAGAATGAATTCACAGAAGGAATATTTGTGTGGGGTGTGTATCACATGAAAGTAAAAATATGAAAAATGCCCAGTTTTGAAAATTACTAAAGAAATGTACATTAAAACCATGACGAGACACCATTTCAGTCTTGTATCTTTTCATAGTAATGTAGCACGTGACAACATCAGTATCCAGTTTCTTGCTCTGTACAGTGGGCATAATGTGTTAGTACTTACTTTCTGTGGTTGTTTTGAGGATTGCAGAAGATAACAGAATGTGAAGGGCTCAAAATAGTGCCTGGCATGTTGTAAACTTTCAATGGACGTCAGCTACAATGATTATATTTTCAGTGGTGGTATAAATCACTAAACATTTGGAAAGCAGCTGGGAATGACTTACTGAGCTTTGGATTTGGGATTCCACTTTTGAGAATCTAGGATTCTCCTCCCCAGAGAACTCCAAATACTGGGAAAAAACTACAAGTGCAAAGATATTTATTAGAGCATTATTCATAATAGCGAACAATTGTGAGCCCTCCAAACGCCTAGTAATAAGGGAATCAGTGAGTAAATTATGCATCTGTTTATTTATTATTAATTACTTAATTTCATTTTAGTTTTTTTTAATTCCGGTATACTTAATATATAGTGTTATATTAGTTTCAGGCATACAATATAGTGATGCAGTATTTCTATACATCACTCAGTGCTCATCATGATAAGTATAACTCTTAATCTCCTTCACCTATTTCACCCATCCCCCCACCTCCCTTCTCTGGTAACCATCTGTTTGTTCTCTGTAGTTAAGAATTGGTTATTTTGTTTGTCTCTTTTTTTCTTTGTTCATGTGTTTTGTTTCTTAAATTCCACATGAGTTAATTTATATTTTTGTCTTCCTCTGACTGACTTATTTCACTTAGCATTATACCCTCTAGCTCTATCCATGTCATTGCAAATGGCAAGATTTCATTCTTTTTTATGGCTAAGTAATATTCCATTGTATACACACACCACCTCTTCTTTATCCATTCATCTATGGATGGATATTGGGTTGCTTTCATAATCTGGCTATTGTAAATAATGCTGCTATAAACATAGAGGTGCATATATCTTTTTGCATTAGTGTTTTCATTTCTTTGGGTAAATGCCACTAGTGAAATTACTGTATTGTAGGGTAGTTCTATTTTTAATACTTTTTCCAGAGTGGCTGCACCAGTTTGCATTCCAAGCAATAGTGCATGAGGGTTCCTTTTTCCTCTGCCTCCTTGCCAACGCCTGTTGCTTCTTTTTTTTTTTTTTTTAAAGATTTTTATTTATTTGACAGAGAGAGAGAGAGCACAAGCAGAGGGAGAAGCAGGCTCCCCGCTGAGCAAGGAGCCCGATGTGGGGTTCAATCGCAGGACCTTGGGATTATGACCTGAGCCGAAGGCAGACGCTTAACCGACTGAGCCACCCAGGCGCCCCGCTTCTTGTTTTTTTTGACTTTAGCCATTCTGACAGGTGTGAGGTGATATCTCATTGTAGTTTTGATTTGCATTTTCCTGATGATGAGTGATGTTGGGCATATTTGCTTGTGTCTGTTGGCCATCTGGATATCCTCTTTGGAGAAGTGTCTATTCAAGTCTTCTGCCCATTTTTAATTGGATTATTTGTGGTTTTTTTGTTTTTGGTATTGAGTTTTATCAGTTCTTTATATATTTTGGGTACTAACCCTTTATTGGATATGTCACTTGCAAATATCTTTCCCCATTTCATAGGTTGCCTTTTTGTTTTGTTTTTTTTGTTTTACTTATTTATTTATTTAGTTCAGTTAGCCAGCATATAGTACATCATTAGTTTTTGATGTGGTGTTCAATGATTCATTAGTTGCGTATAACACCCTCCTTTGCTGTGCAAAAGCTTTTTTATTTTGATGTAGTCCCAGTAGTTTATTTTTGCTTTTATTGCCCTTGCCTCAGGAGACATATCTAGAAAAATGTTGTTATGAATGATGTCAGAGAAGTTACTGCCTGTGCTTTCTTCTAGGATTTTTATGGTTTCAGGTCTCACACTTAGGTGTTTAATCCATTCTCAGTTTTATTTTTATGTGTGGTATAAGAAAGTGGTCCAGTTTCATTCTTTTGCACGCTGCTGCCCAGTTTTCGCAACACCATTTGCTGAAGAGACTTTTTTTCCCATTGCATGTCCTTGCTTCCTTTGTTAAAGATTAATTGACCATATAATTGTGGATTTATTTCCTGGCTCTCTGTTTTGTACCACTGATCTATGTGTCTCTTTGTGCCAGTACCACACTGTTTTGATCACTACAGCTTTGTAGTAAATCTTAAAATCTGGGATTTTGATATTTCCAGTTTTGTTCTTCTTTTTCAAGATTGCTTTGGCTATTTAGGGTCTTTTGTGGTTCCATACAAATTTTAGGATTATTTGTTCTAGTTCTGTGAAAAATGCTTGGTATTTTGATAGGGATTGCATTAAATATACAGATTGCTTTGGGTAGTATGGACATTTTAGCAATATTCTCCCAATCCATGAGCATGGAATATCTTTCATTTGTTTGTGTCATCTTCAGTTTCTTCCATCAGTTTTTTATGGTTTTCAGAATACAGGACATTGACCTCTTTGGTTAAGTTTATTTCTAGGTATTTTATTATTTTTGGTGCAATTGTAAATGGGATTGTTTTCTTAATTTCTCTTTCTGATACTTCAATATTAGTATATAGAAATGCAGCAGGTTTCTGTATATTGATTTTGTATCCTGTGACCTTACTGATTCATTTATCAGTTCTAGTAGTTTTTTGGTGGAGTCCTTTGGGTTTTCTATATATAGTATCATATCTCTGCAAATAGTGAAAGTTTTACTTCTTCCTTTCCACTCTGAATGCCTTTTATTTCTTTTTGTTGTATAATTGCTGTGGCTAGGACTTCCAGTACTATGTTGAATAAAAGTGGTGATTGGGCATCCTTATCTTGTTCTCCTGATCTTAGGGGAAAATCTCTCAGTTTTTCATCATTGAGTATGATGTTAGCTGTGGGTTTTTCATATATGGCCTTTATTATGTTGAGGTATGTTCCCTCTAAACGTAGTTTTTTCAGGGTTCTTATCATGAAGAGATGTTGTACTCTGTCAAATACTTTTTCTGCCTCTATTGAAATGATCGTATTGTTCTTTTCTCTTGTTGATGTGATGTATCACATTGATTGATTTGGGAATATTGAATTACCCTTGCATCCTAGGAATAAATCCCACTTGATTGTGGTGAATGATTTTTTAA